GTCGCAGTCGCAGTCGTAGTCGCAGTCGCAGTCGCAGTCGCAGTCGCAGTCGCAGTCGCAGTGGTGGTGGTAGTAGTAGTAGTAGTAGTACTACTACTACTACTACTACTACTAGGACTAGTAGTAGTAGTAGTAGTAGTAGTTGTTGTTGTTGTAGTAGTAGTAGTAGTAGTAGTAGTAGCAGAAGTACTAGTAGTAGTAGTGGTCGTAGTAGTACTAGTAGCTGCAGTAGTAGTAGTGGTAGTAGTAGTAGCAGAAGTTGGTAGTAGTAGTAGTAGTAGTAGTAGTAGTAGTAGTAGGTAGTAGTAGTAGTTGTTGTTCTTGTTGTTGTAGTTGGTAGTAGTAGTAGTAGTAGTAGTAGTAGTAGCAGTAGTTGTTGTTGTTGTTGTTGCAGAGGTAGTGGCAACGGTGGTGGTATCCCTCGCCGTAGCTCTGTTATATTTACGGGGCGGTCAGGGGCAGTGGTGATGGTGGCTTATTGCTGCGACCGAGAGCACTCCGACCATTAGTAGACTGATTATCCACCACTACTGAGTTCGCTACTTAATTACTGAACACTTGCTATCCATTGTTGTCAGTCTTACTTTCGCTGTGTCCCATCAGCAGGTCTTGGGACCTGGACCAGCGGGTGCCATCTGAGGCAGCGGCGACCAAGGTCAGTCGTGGCAAGATGTTCATGGTCATGAGCTCTTGGATCATGAGCTTGCAAGCGTACCTCGGAATGTCCAAGAGTAGAATCGGAACATACACACATACATAAGTCATACATACACACATACATACATACATACATACATACATACATACGTACATACATAAATCCAGCGTGCATGCATTCATACATATATATATATATATATATGAGCACATATATATATATATATATATACATCGATCTCTTTCTTTCCACAGGGTTGTGGTGGGGAGGATCTCTCTCTCTCTCTCTCTCGACGCGATGCACATCCACAGGACAAAACGTGCGCACGGGAGGCAAACCTGTGACACTCTTGCCGCATCCTCGGCAGATCGAAGTCCGGCTTGTGGAGTTGCGGCAATCTGAAGTCAGTTCCTAGAAAACCGACTCTGCCACACCAGTCCTTGCAGATCTTGCACTCGTAGGTGTCTTTGCTTAATCGCGCGATAGCAAAAAGACCACACCTGGGACTCAGGCTTTCAACGTTGAATTTGAACATTTTGAAGTTTGGAGGTTTCGGCCAGCTTCGAGGCTGACAAGATGAAAGCTAGGTGCCTCGCTTGTCGCACACATGGACTCTGTGTGCATCAGAGACATCGAAAAGCCTTTCCTGCAGAAGCATGTAAAATGCCTTTAAACGTCAGTGCAAGTTGCTGTCCTTAAGGAATTTGGCTGCTCCGTGGGAGATGATGCAATCACGCTCCTCAGCACTCACCAGGACATTGTCTATATGGTCCACATCAAGGCTGCAAATCAGCGAAACTTTCGAACGCTCCGCGAAGTGTCCATCTCTCCAAATCGCAGGCCGCCTTCTTTGGCACGGCCTGAGTTTCCCGGCAGCTGCAACTCAGCCGCCCTTGTCTAAGTCCTAAGCCGGCCTTCTGTTGGCTGTCTGACCAATGTTTGCACCTGACTATGGCAGAGAAACAAAGCCAAGCCCAGGAAAGCAACTAAGAAGGCGGCCTGCAGAAAATCCATCAAGGAAAGCAAAAACACGAGGACAAATAAATTGGCACTGTCCATGATAAGCGAAGCATGGCATCGTGAAGCTGGGGCTATGGCAGGCCCTCTGGATCTCGACTGGACCTTGTCGCTCACCATGTGCTTCAGGCGCTGATAGTACCTGCGAAGGGCGCACGTCAGACATGGAAGCTTTACATGTCGCTGATCTGGCAGCTCTTATCCTACCCCGGCCCTCAGTCTAACCTTCCTCAACTTCAGCATGCTGTTAACAGTTAAACGTTAACACAATCGGAGGCACACAGGCCCGACGAAGATCTTGTTAGTGAGTGGCCGCCCAGTGTGTCCGTTCCAGACCTTTTCGTTTCCGAAGCGCTGGAAGCCCATGTCATGCAGCCTCAGCTTGGTCTTGCGCGCGCATATCTGACTCTTGGTGATGACTGACATCTCGGGAAAATTTAGGATAGATTGGATACGTCGACGAATTTCGGCAGCGTTGTCTAATGTGCCTGCTGGAGATGTCCTTCACCGTTACTCGGGTGAAGGGCGTGGCCTCAATGCCGGAAAGGATCAGACGCGGCCAGAAGTCAGCAAATTCAGAAGCTCTTGGGGGCAGTCAAAAGCGGTCAGTCAGTGATTGAAAAGGCCGGGACATCCCCCTGGCAGCCAACCAAAGCGCCAACCTGCCCCACTGGAACTTCAATGAATTTGCGTGCTCTGTATGAAGCTGCTCGGTGATTACGCCATCCGAAGGTCAATCTGCGATATTCATCCTTTGCCGACTTCGCATGGTTCATGCCAGGATGGAGTCAGGCTGCCACATCAGCTCCCGCCTTTCCGGTGAGCTGCTCGACCAAATGGCCAATTGTCATCCGAGATGGAATGGCGTGCGGGTTCATGATCTGCCATAACAAGACAAGTACGGGAAAACGTCCGCAATGGTGCATTAGACTGAACTCCTCCGTGTCGAGATTTGCGTGGCACCGCTACAATTTCAAGATGATGCAAGGGGGCACTGTCTCTGGCAAAGATCGGCTGGCTAGCAGGATTGCCGGATATGCAAACACAAGCATATTGTCAAGGCAAATACAACCGTTAAACACAAAATAACCAACTAAGAAAAAGCAAGACAATGCAAACACATACAAGTAAAGGTAAATAAAAGCTGAGAAATAACAACGAAACAACCACAGACAAATAAATGCAAAACTAAAAACATCTTAAAGATACAAAAACGGATACAGCAAAAAGTACTCATAGATAACAGTATGACAAAAAACAAACAAAACTGAAAACACTATAATAATCCTATTTCGTCTAAGCCTTCAAACCTACACCAGACGACAAGTTGAACATAGATAGATAATTTTCCGCAAACCCAAAAACAACCGGGTGCCGGGACAGTCTGCCCCCTGGCGGTCCCCTTGAATCTCAATGGGGTGGTCACCAGGATCCAACAGTGCAGGGGGCGGAACCCCGTTCGAAACGGTGGTGAATGTTTGGGATTTTGCAACGCAAAACAGCAAACATCTTCAATGTTGCATTCGACTGCACCCTATCGGGCAAACTGTCTAATAAAGCGAGAGTGAAATTGAAAAGATGTAACAGCTTCGATTACATTAGAATTCGTGGCGTGTTGTCCACGTCTTTGTCGCAGCGTGAATTGGTAGGATGTCAGAAGATTCAACCGCGCCGAGTTTGATGCATTTTGTGTGAATGAAGACTGAATTGATTGAAAAGACTGAGCGGGGCACGAGGATCTCGACCCCAAAGGTTTAAAACCCCATACCCAGCCAGGCCCAAAACGTGCGATCGGGCTTAGACCCTGACACAGTGCACAGGAGAACACAACAGGGGCTCGGCAACTTGCAAATCAAAACTTGGTGCGAGCAGGCTGAGACTCAGTAAAAATGCACACAGCAACTACTACTGCTGCTGCTTCTACTCCTACTACGAGTACTACTACTATCATTATTACTTCTACTTTGGCTGACTCGCGAACTCTAAGCAAAACCTAGAATGGCGGCAAAATAAATGCTTCAGGCTGCCATGTTTGTCATTCTCCACCCCCCTCCCACCCCGCACACGCCCCAGCAAGAACAGTC